TAATCTCTAATCGAACTATATTGTTCTTCGTTATTACTATTCCTTTTGTCTCATATTACTGTCTACTGTCTCTATTTTGCATTTCTTCTACTTTCTTCTTCTTGTTCTTCTCTGGCTTTGTGTGCTACATGGAGGGGAGGGAGTGTGGCAGCTTGAACTACTGCACATCTGTGCAAAGTTCTATGTTGAAGACAAACAGTATCACTGCATGATGTGGGAAGTCAGATGTTACTGACGTATTTTACTCACCAACAAGTTTCTCACAGGGTTGATCTTACTGTTCGAAGCTGGGAGCAAGTGACTTAATCTGGATTGCCTGGGGCTTTTCACTAGGAAACGACCGTCTGATCGTCTGAGATTCAACATAGAACTTTGCACAGAAGTACACCACTTCAAGTTCCCACACTCTATGTAGAGCACATAAAGGTGGACAAGAGAGAAATAAGAAACTGCGGGATAAAAAATAGTAGCATGGAGAAACATGAAAATTTAGTAGATCTGGTATAGAATACATTTCACCAACGCTCTCCATCTATTGGTTCTTAGCGCAACCCAAGGCCCCTAACCAGATAATCAACACTCTTCTACAAAGCTGACTCAAAGCAACTACCAAAGACTTCCAGGGTTGATTGCAAGTTTTGGTGTGACCACTCGTTGCTCTTTTCCAACCTAATACTATATCAATCAGCGAACATTGGCCGTCGAGGAAGACGATGTCTCCGTTTGCGCAACATGTATCCTAGGCATACGAGTCGATGTTGGTTTAGGATCTGACCGATTAACTTAACCGGCTTACTTAGCACTCTACGCCTAGCCTTAACATTGCTCACCGTATTATGTCACTTAACACTGGAGATAAGTAAGAATTAGGGGACTTTTGAATTGTCAAGGGTTGGTAAATATAGACAATTCGATATTTGTCCATTGGTTGAATAGCCAGAGTACTCTGCGAATTGAAGAATTTACTTTATTAAGGAAAATCGTTTCTTATAGTGTTTCCTGAATTCTGAGTAATAATCTGAATATATTTTGGAATATCCTTTAACACCTGTGAAGTATGGAGTAAATCCACGGAATTCGTCTACACTCAATCGTAGCTTGAGGATCAGGAGAGAGAGGTCAGAGTTACAGAGTGTATTGGCCATTTAATTAGTTTGGAAGTATATTTATCACTCGTAATAAGGTGTTTACTGATGAAATTCCATCATGAGTACAAGATCCTCTCTACTTGTAGTTTGCCGTTGTGCTTTTCTAGGGAAACAACCCTGCTTCGTAAACACAGTGAATAGGACTCTGCTGGCCGGGGCTATGAACGCGTGGCTACATGAGAGCACTTTTAGAGGGAGATCGAAGCCTAGTGTCCCTCAACTGTATCAAGTAGTTCACAAAAGATAGGACTATCTGTTTTCTTAACACAGTTAAAATTTATGTTCAACATGTGTTAACTACTCGATCCAATATAAGTAGCACATCGGCTATACTGAAATATTTCGAGAGAATGGGCGCCGTTTATTTTCAAAAGAGACTACAAAATTTGACTTTCACTGATGGTTATGGGAATGATTGTAGAAATAAATAACTGTCCAAATCAAAGAAAATAAATGCGTATAGGTTATCCTGTATTCAGCAGTCCCTTAAGCTTGACTAATTGATATAACAGCTTTGATCACGGGCTGAGATCTGTTAGAGGACCATTGGAAAACCTGGGAGTACTGGACTTGATTGGAACTCTTCATCAGTATGCATCCACTGGGGCTCGAATCCAAGACCTTCCAGGTACAAGGAAAGCCTTAAGACCATTCGGTCACTGGGATCAGACCCAATGGCCAGCCCATGAATTCCAACTTCTACTAATTCATGATATATGCGTAGCGCAACCACCAGCCAACGTCATGAGTGAGTAATTCATCGCTTTCCTGACTTGTTGGACCGCGCTGGCAAAAGTTGCAATTCATGGGCTGGCCACTGGGTCAAGTCCCTGTGACTGAACGGTCTACGAGCTTGCCTTGTAACTTGGAGGTTCCGGATTCGAACCCTGTTGTTGGGTGCATACTGATGAAGAGCCCTAAACTAGGACAAGACAACTGTCCGCTACCCCTTGGTTATTTTCTATGGCCCTCCAACTAATATCGATCCATGATCAAACCTGAAACTGATCAAATCTTCACCCTTCGACAGATTCTAGAACATAGGCATTCCTACCGGCGTCCGACAATCATTATATTTCTTGACCTAAAGGCGGCATTCGATTCTGTCGACCGGGAGGTTCTCTGGCGATGCTTGGCTGTAAAGGGAATGCCGAGAAAATACATTGCACTGATTAAGGCACTCTACTCGTACTCATCCAGCCAGGTGAGGGCTTATGGCGAGTTGTCATCTGAAGTGGTGACGACTAGTGGCGTCCGTCAAGGATGCCCATTATCCCCATTCCTATTCAACTTCATCATAGATGTACTAATAGACTTAACCCTAACTCACTTCAGCGACTCAGGGATTGACTTGCTACCAGGGAATAATCTCGCTGACTTAGAATATGCGGACGATATAGTCCTTCTAGGCGAGGACTCTGACAAAATGCAGAGTCTACTGAACACCTTGAGCTGCAATCTAAGAATGTTTGGCATGCGATTCGCCCCTGTAAAATGTAAGATTATGCTGCAGGATTGGACTACACTGACCCCTAGATTAGAAATAGGAAGTGAAGTGGTAGAGCACGTTGACCGCTTCACTTACTTGGGAAGTACCATCAGCCCCAACGGGTTGATCGCCGACGAAATCTCAGCACGTATACAGAGGGCTAGGTTCGCATATGCCAGTTTACGCCGTCTCTGGCGTAGACGCGATATCCGACTATCGACCAAAGGGCGTGTGTACTGCTCAACAGTCCACTCCGTCCTCCTTTATGGCTGGCTGTGAGACCTGGCCATTGAGAGCAGAAGACATGAAAAGATTAGCTGTCTTCGATCATAGGTGTCTGCGTTCCATCTCCCACGTGAAGTGGTATAATAAGGTGAGCAATATTGAGGTTAGGCGTCGAGTGTTAGGTAAGGCGGGGAAATCAATCGATGAGACTGTGAAATTACATCGACTGAGATGGTTAGGACATGTGTTACGCATGCATGCCTAGTCATCGCCTTCCTCGACAGTGGGGGAAATGTTAGCTGATATAGGGCCAGGCTGGAAAAGAGCTAGTGGAGGTCAAACGAAAACATGGCACCAGTCAATGAAATCCACAACAGTTAGTCTAAGTCACGTAGGGAGATGTAGACTTCCTGGTTGGGGTCCTCGGGACGGTAAAAACCAATGGTTGGAAACAATTGGTGACATGGCTCAAAATCGTTCTCAGTGGCGCAGATGCATCCACTCCTTGTGACTTATGATTTCCGATGAAACTGTTCGTTCTTCGTTATTACTACTCCTTTGTCTCACACCTCTGTTTACTGTCTATATTATGCATTTCTCCTACTTTCTTCTCTTCCTTTGTGTGCTACATGGAATGTGGCGACTTGAACTGCCGCACATCAGTGCAAAGTTCTATGTCGAAAACAGACAGACAGACAGACAAATCTTTGGAAAGCACAACTTTATAATTGATGCGCGTCGGTGGCACAGAGGTTAGGACTCTCGCCAACCATGCACATGGTCCGGAGTTCGATCCTCTGCCAATGCACACCTCATATCAATGGTCGGTATGCTACAATGGGCTACCGATATCACATGCTGAAAATTTTATACTTATAGCAAAAATACGGTGTGGAATCAAGCTATAATCAAAATATTTAAAAAAAAATATTAATAGACAGAAGACAAGTGGTTCAGCTGAACTACTTGTCTTCTGTCTAATAATGTTCGAATGGGAATTTTTCATGAAAAAATATTAAATCACAAATTTGCATACACTGAGGAGACAATTAAGTGATATGATACATACCCTAGGTAAACCCTTGAAGGGAACCTGAATGGGGAAATAAACGAGTTGGGCGTGGGTCCGAGCGTAGCACTGAAGAGATCTGGTATTGAGAAAGTGAAATCTTGTGGGCAGCTGTAGAGCCATTCGAAAGTGATGTCAGGGAAATGTGCTTTTGAACCACTATGTCTCGCTTGGAATACAGTTTTATTGTATTAATATTAACAACTCGATATTGTAATGGTTAACCTTTAATTATTATATGTATATGTATTTTTGTAGAGTCATATAAGGAAGCGATCGATAATGTAAATGTTCAAGTATTGGTTTGTAGGGATTTGGTTGATTGGTTACAGAATTTCATCATGAGTTGACATTGGTTAGAGAACCATTGAAAAATCTGGGAGTACTGGACAGCTGTTTCGACCTAGTTTGGGATTCTTCATCCGTACGCACCCACTTTACTGGGGTTCGAACCCAGGACCTTCTGGTTACAAGGCGCACTAGCTCGTAGACGATTAAGCCACCGGGACCCGATCCAATGGCCATCCCATGAATTTTAACTTCTGCCATTCACGACATAGCGCAACCGCTAGCCAATGTCTTCGGCGAGTATTTGTCCTCACACCCGACCTGCTGCCCGACCCAAACTAGGACGAAACAGCTGTCCAGTACTCCCTGTTGGTTTTCCAATGGTTCTCTAACCAATGTCAGCTCATGATGAAATCCTGTAACCAATGTGAATGTTCTTTGCTCAGTCTTCTGTTTCGTTTTTGTAATTGTCTAAGTTGGAATTTTCGCCGTATCAATTAACTAATTTTTTAATATGTTTCCTCTTCCACTTTTTTGTTTTCATTAGATGAATTGGATGTTGAATTGTATTTGGCACGTCTTGAATCCCTAATGGATCATCGTCCACTCCTGTTGAACAGTGTTTTATTACGTCAAAATCCTCACAATGTAGCCGATTGGTTAAAACGTGTTGAGTTGTTGAAAAGTCAAGGAGCACGTGAACAGATTGCAGCTTTCATGGAGGGGATTACATCTGTTGATCCTGGTGAGTAGATAATTTATTTTATGTTGGATAATCAAGATAGGTAAATATGTTGTTGATTGACTTGTGGTGCATTGGCTGAAATAACTTTAGGGCCTCTTGCCCATGAGGTTACTTCTTCAAAGTTAGCCTGCTTTGTTATTCTTCAGGCTTTTTTGTATATCCAAACACACCAATATGGTAGCTGCCTTCTTATCAGTTTCGATACTCTCGGACTTATTTTTGATTGGACACTAGCTAATAACTAGTGTAATGTGTCTAGTCCTATATTTGGTGCAGACTGAATTCTTGTAGAATTTGTAGCGATGACTGTTTAGAAGAAGAGCTCCTATTTCTTAAAAGCATCCTGGTTCAAAATGGATACCCACCGCGTTTCGTGGAGAAGAACATGAAACCAAGGCCAAAAAGAGAAGAATACACTTCAATGCCAAAGAAAACACTTTATGTGAATCTGGAATTCAGGGAAGACCTAGCAGCAGATATCCTTAAAAGGAGAATCTCCAATTCCCTGAAGAAGACTTTTCCGGCAGCAACTCTAAGAGTGGTATTCTCTAGCCGCCCACTACTTCGGAGTGACGGGAAGGACAGACTTCCCGTTCACCTGCTCTTGCGGAGCTAGGTACATACGTTCTATGCGGGTCTTATCAAAACGTGCTAGAGAACATCATCCAGCATGGCTGCAAAGAGTAGGCACTGGTTCAATCAGAAGTGCAATAACTGAACACCTCGTCAATACCTGTCACAGAATCTCAACTGACTCATCATTCAGAGTCATTTACAAAGTTAAAAAAGATCTGCCAAAGACAGCGTGTTTCAGACTTCTTTGTACTGTGGAAGCTCTCGCCATATGCATCGAAAAGCCGGAGCTATGTGTTCACCAGTCATAGAGTCAGCCGAAAGTGACGGCAGAGGACTTAGTGGAATATGGAGACGTTTCACTGTGGTCCTGTGTTCCAACTAGGTTGATTTTGCTTATTATACGTGTAATGTTTGTTATTTTTGCTGTTCATATCTGCCACCTATTACGTAATAATCATCCCTGTATTATATTATTGTTTCTGTTTATTATTGTCTTATAGCAAAAGCAACTGCTGGTCGTCCATCAGCCCTATGGACTGGTTTATCACGTTTATATGAAGAACATGGCCAGTTGACTGATGCTCGTGTAGTCCTTGAAAAAGCAACTGGTGTTGCATTCACACATGTTGAAGATTTGGCGGCTATTTGGTGTGAATGGGCTGAAATGGAAATGCGTCATGAGTAAGTTTCAGTGTTATTGTAAATAATCGAATTTCGCATTTTGTACGGATTTCGAGGTTGTGAGGCAGATGCATCGATTGACAGAGATGGTGTTACTACATGTATTATGCATGCATGCTGTCTAGCCATCCATCGCCCTCCTTGACAATGGGGGCGATGTTAACCGCTGACATAGGATGGATGGTTGATCAGGTTGGAAGATAGTTAACTATTGGTGGTAAAACGAAAACATGGCTTCATCACTCAATGAAATCCATAACAGATAGTTTAGGCCAGCCACGTAGGAAGATGTAGACTGACTGACTGACTGGTTGTTTGGGGTCCTCAGGATGGATGGTGAGAACCAATGGTGGCTGGCGACAACTGGTGATATGGCTGGTTCAAAGTGATCGTTCTCAATGGCTAGTTTGCGCAGATGTATTCACGCTTTGTGATTTATCATATCCGATAAAACTCTATTGTTCTTCCCTCGCGCTTCTGTTTACTGTCTATCTGTCTCTCTTTCGAATGTCTGTTTATCCTGTTCTCTTGGTTTGTGTGGTACATGGAGGGAGTGTGGCAAATGGAACTTCTGAACATTTGTGCGAATTTCTACCTTGAAACCAGTCAGCCAGTCATAAGGAATAAGGTTGCACTGTTTTGTTTTTAACATGGCTTAAATACACGATTTTCGACCGATGTGTAATGCTTAGCCCGCGTTCTTCTCGTAGTGCAATCGAGAGTAGGAAAACTTCAGTCTTTTTCTGGAAAAATGCTCGTATATGGCCGCACCCTCATAGCCTCTGCCAGCTAGATAAGTTCTATCCACTGTCTTCCCACGGGAGGTGGGTCTGCTCTTTACAAAAGTGGAAGGGCCAATGCGAAAGTCTATCACTTACATTCGGACTGATGGATGATATGCATGTCTACCTACCCAGGGTAGTCGGGAAACCCTGATCCCGAACCTATATCTGGTATACATGGGCTTCAGAATCCGAACTGATGGAATGGCGTGTTGTAAACTCGTTTTCGTTCACGGTAACCCTGGAAACATACCTCCTGACGCTGCCCTACTGCCTTTTTGGTCAGACTGACTGACTGACTTAGCATTGGTGTTGAAAGTCCGAATCTTGTTTTGGATGCTGGCTGAGTGCAGATTTCCAAACGGGTTTCAAGTTGATGAAGGCGTATCTTGCCTTCCCGATTCTGTCTGGCTGGTGTTGACATCTTCATCCGTTCCGCATGCGGTTTATATAACCTCGTGCTTTAACAGTCTGTCCCAACGTGACTCAGTTCTAGCTATTTTGTTTATGAGAAGTTCTAAATTCATGATGCGAAAAATCAATAATTTGGGTAATCATTGGTATATGCACTTCTTTCTAAAACTTTTAACGATACGAATTTTGTTTCTTGTTTGGTTGGGGTGTAATGATTAGCAGTGGAATGCAATAGATGCTCAATATTGTCCTATTTGAGACTCTTTTTGTCATCCCTAGTAAGAAAGTGATGCTATCCCCAAGGAGACTCAAACACAAGCAGCCATCGTTGTAAAAACATCGGCAGTAACCTAACATTTCGGTCTAGTCAGTCAGTCAGCGGGTAAAAAATAACAGAGTTATCTTAAACAAGTAATACATATTTTTTTGTTCAGCGAAGAAATTTCTTTTCAACGACTTCATTTTCAAGCTGTACAGTCGTATTTATATTACAGAAAAGGTTATTAAGTGGCACTAAATAATTGCTCAGTCAATATACATATATAAGTGATAAGAATAACGATAATTAAAATGTTACAAAGGGTAGAGTTGAAGTGGATGAATTACAAAATTATTAAAGATTGTTTTATAAGTGAATTGAAATCAAAAATGTTTTTCTTAAAATGTCAAACTTTGTCTAAAAATTTTAAAAAATCAGGAGTACGATTACGATAAGAATGAAGATGTGAAGTGAAGTGACAAAACGTTTTTGAACACGACTTCGCGGAAGTACAACTGCAAAGTCGTCTATTTGTGATCACCTGTTAGACTCTGGTCATTCAGCCCCACATGGAAAAATCGAATCGCTCCAAAGGTTACGTTTTCTTCACTTATGCATAACCGACACTTTAGCTTTACATGGACAGAAACCTAAATTATGTGTTCAAAAACGTTTTGTCAAACCCATTTCTTTACCTTGGTCATAGTAATGTTCTTTCTAGTTTTTACTTTATTTTACCACTTGAATTCTTTCCACTTCACTTCACATCTTCATTCTTATCGTGATCGTACACCTGATTTTTTAAAATTTTTAGACAACACTTGACATTTTTAAAACATTTTTGATTTCAATTCACTTATAAAACAATCTTTAATAATTTTGTAATTTATCCACTTCAACTCTACCCCTTATAACCAGTCGGGAAGAGAGGAGGACCGGATGAAATTTGCCCCGATTATCGTTATTCTTATCACTTATATTGACTGAGCTAACCATCGTCTCCCTCGATGTGCATTACTAGCTGATATAGGTGCAGGTTGGAAAAGAGTAAGTGGTGGCCAAACAAAAACATGGCCTCATCAATACATGAAATCCCTGACAGTTAAACTGAGTCAGGTAGGGAGGGAGATGCAAACTTCCGGGTTGGGGCCCGCCCTCGGGACTCTAAGAATCAATCAATGGCTGGAGACAATAGGTGACATGGCTCAAAATCGTTGTCAATGGCTTACGCAGATGTATTCAGTAGTCTCTGTAATCTTTCATATTCCTTTCTACCATTACTCATTCTGTTTCACTCTTATACCTACTTGTCAAAACTCTACTGATTCTCTTCACTCATCTTCTTGTCTACCTTTGTGTGCTATTTGGATCGTGGCAACCGGAACTGCTGCACTTCGGTGCGAAGTTCTATGTTGAATCCAGACTGACAGACATACTGACTGAGCAATTATTTAGTGCCATTTAATAACTTTTTTTCTGTAATATAAATGCGACTGTACAGCTTGAAAATGAAGTCGTTGAAAAGAAATTTCTTCGCTGAACAAAAAAACTGTGATTTTACTTATGAATAAATGGGTATTTTTCGTGATTTAAACATATTTCTCCAGTGCTGATTTTTAAGGATTTGATTGGCAATATATTTGGTGACAAACTGAGATCAGTTAGAGAACCCTTGGGAAACTATCAGCAATGAGTACTGGATAGCTGTCTCATCCTAGTTTGGGACTCTTTAGTAGTACACACCCATCGCCAGGGTTCGAACACAGGACCTTCAAGTTACAAGGCGAACTTGTAGAGAATCAGTCACGGGGACCCGGTCCAACGGCCATCGCATGAATTCCAGTTCCTGCCAATGCATGATACATACATATAGCGCAACCACCAGCCAATATCGTCGGCGAGATGCCGTCCTCTTACTGATGTCACCACGTGATCAAACCTGATACATATTTGTATTTTAATTACTCTCTCTCTCTCTGTGCTGTTATGTTCACTGTGTGTTGTTTTTGTTTTGTTTTCTCTCCTATAACAGTCAACCTGAAGCAGCTTTACGTCTGTTGGGTAAAGCGACAGCTGTTCCATCGCGTAAAGTCGACTACTACGATCGTTCTGAACCAGTCCAGTTAAGATTGCATAAATCTCTTCGTCTATGGACATTGTACACTGATTTAGAAGAAAGTTTTGGTACATTTGAAACAACAAAGGTAGATTTTTTCAACTAGATGTGTGTATATGTATTTGCCTTTTTTTTGCTCAATTATCAATGGTATTAATTTGTGTAAAACTTGGCCATTGTAATAGTATGTAATTCCATATTAATTTGTTTGT